GAAGATCAAACTTGAATAGCCCTAAATTGTATTTAGGCAACCATTGAAACATTGGAACAAAATATTGAATTCCCTTTTGAATTCTGATTGAAAGTTTCTCGTTCTTGAATTCATGGAATGGATCATCTGGAAAAAGTGTTTCTTTTAAATTTGCTTTAAGAACTGTTCCAAAGCTACGGGGTGGTGCATAGTTAACCCCATGCAATGATTTCTTAGGAGAAGTCATTGTTTCTGGCTAGTTCTGCAAAAGAAGGAGAAAGAAATAGAAAGGAGAAGTTTAATTCATGTATATATAGAAAAGCATGACTTAATTATATGATCAAATGGAAAAGAAAATTTTATTGGTATTTTAACATGTTATAATAGATAATTTATCTTATTTTTCAGATTATGAATTCCATTTTTTTATGAGTAATTACATGGATTAGTCATATTTTAGGTGACATGTAGAATGACAAATAGCAAAAAATGATGCAAGAATGTCAAGGCGGGAAATAATATTTTTGGCTATTTTAATTTGTTGCGATAGATAATCTACATAGTTTTTATATTACAAACAATAACGTGTAAGTGACAAAGTGGTACGGTAAAAGAAGAAGAAGAAAAATTAATCTAAATGGTTGTTTACCCAACTACTTAAATTAGAAATAATTGACAAATGTATAATATATGTACAATTTATGTATAATATGTGTATAATTCTGTAAAATCAATATATAACCTATGAGCGTATACCGATTAGGAAAAGTAAACAGTAAATCCGGCCAACTATTTGTGCAAATGTGAAACTTATTGGTAGTGTTTATCTTTGGACTAGATTCATTCCCATTACCTAAGTAAAATTTCAATATCTATTAAAATACAAATTACATGATGCTATTCCATTTACCCTAAAAGAAAGTACCTAAAGAAAATGAAAAGATATTTGAATGGTAACATCATATGTGATGGAATCTTTATACTCAGTTAGGTGTGAATGTAAACATTCCTTAAATGGAATATATGTTTGAATTTAATTAGGTGAATATAATTGATACTTTTTTTGGTTATAATCTTAATGACATAAGATCTCATACTAGACATGCCATATGAAAACTTTCAAAGAGGCATAATTCTTTAATATGATTTTTTCTAAATTAGGAAAAGATATAAATGTTTAAACTCTTGTATTATATAAGATCCTAACAGGCCATATGAAACTTTCAAATTATATTAGTTATTTAATGTCTTTTTTCCTAGATTAGGAAAAGATATAAATGTGCAAAAAAATGTCTATGATCAAGTTATAGCACCTTAAATTCTGGCCCGCACCGGATAGTTTGGAGAATAAATCACTTTCTTACAAGCATGAAGATCAAATGAAAATAAAGAGAAGATAACATGGATAAAATTTGAGACCTAAGGATAGAAGAGATGTCCCAATTGCTGGGACACCCTTATATAGCAACTAATTAAAAAAGATAATAGGAAGAAGAAGTAATTAATTGCTACTTTGACTATGGATTCTGAGTGAAAATTTGCGACATATAAAGAGGAAATTACTGGTTGGAAATAAGGTAAAAACGGCTACAAATATGGAGTGACAATCATTTTAGCTTTATCTATGTTTAACCACTAATAAGTAATGAGTGAATAACGATTAGATGCTAAAAAATGGATATAAGTGTAAGGATTAACACTTTATAAGGATAAATTGTGGCGAAAATAAAAGGAGGATATATTGGTTTTTTTAATGTTTTTTTGGAAAAAAAAATTCGAGGGAACAATTGAAGATGGCCCTATAATAATGGGAAAGGATGCATAGATTTTTTTCCCATAATTACAAACAAAAAAATTAGTTAAAGACAAGAAACAAAAAAAATGGTAAAATTAGTTAGGGTGTCTTTGGTACAAAGGAAAATATTTTTCAAATTTTGTCTCATTATCCAACACTAGAAAAACATAAGCGAAGAAAATTGTTATTTTTCTTTTTGTTAGGCAAGAAGACCTCTAGTTGAATTATTATTAAATTATTAAGACTAACTGAAAAAGGGGTACTATTCTTCTTCCTCCACTAGAGTAGTGATATTGTTTCCTTTTAATGAAAATTAATTTTTATGTTTGGTATAATAAATAGGATAAAAATCATTTCTATATACTAATGAATTATTGAATTCTCTTGACATAAAAAAACTTTAAAATGTAATGGTATAAGGGAGATTGGCAGGAATGGCCCCGCAATGGACTGATATTAGCCGAATATCTCTAAAATTAGCGGTATTTAAAAAATAGCTCCCGAACCCGCACACAGCTCTTCTGGGGTTTGTCGCACCAGATTAAATTGTTCATCAAAGTATACCCGATTGTCATACTTTTGCTTTTCAGAATTTCTCTATCGTATTGATAGAGTTGATGCTATTATTACTCTAAGGGATCGTTTAGTATGAGGTATAAGTACAAATAGTGCTGGGATAAAAATTTAATACCACCTTAATATTTTGTTTGGTTAGCAAACCTGAGATAAGTTATCCCGGGATTAAAATTAATAATGAGATAACTTATACCTTGTAGGGGGAGTAATTAGTGCCGGGATAACTTATATTTTCTTAGAAATTATGCAAACGTCATTTTTAATACAACATATCAGGATAAAAAATAATCCCAGCATAACTTATCACAACATCACTTATCCCAGCATAACCTATATTCAAACCAAACGACCCCTAATTGTCTGATAAGTTGTTCATCGAAGTCTGCCAAATTGTCATACTTTTGCTCTTCGGAGATTTTTCTATCGAGTTGGTAGAGTTGATGCTATATTTACTCTTCCTATCTATTAAGTTATTTATTGAAGTCTACCCGATTGACATATTTTTTTAGGTTATTTTAACCAAGTGTTCTTCGAATTTGCTACTTTAATTTTGATCAAACCACCACAAATATGCTCCAAACGATCTCAAATTTGAAATAAAGCTTCCAAATAACAACACAAACAATCCTCAATCACCAATTTAGTGGAATAACATCAAATCAAAAAGACTCACTTTCTCTTATTCAAAAATTTCTTAGGTCCAACCATGGAGTTTTCAAACTTGTACAGTAAATCATCATAATTTGTGTTGAATTAAAAATTCAAGCATAAATTATCAACATGCAAACGATTTTAATAATAATCAATCATTAACTTCTATTTTCCACAACTAAATAAGAATTTCAAGGTTCAAAAATTGAAGAACTAAGATGTTAAAGTCAAAAGTGAGGACATTTTGCTATGATCAGATATTGATGGTATAAGGGGTTCAAATATTGCTTTACATCACCAGTGGAGTAGCACGCATTCGTGTTAATTGCATTGATTTTCACTTATGATTTGACCAGTGATGAAAGGCTAACTTATGGAAGATTAAAATCAAGATTTCAATAGTTCTAATTGGACTGGTTTCTTGTTAATTTATCTCAATCCCATGAGCTCCAAATAACAATAATAAAATATGGCATAGCACTTATTTCTGAACCTAAGTTACAATTCAGCTTTCGATGACGACAGAGCTCACATGTCACATGTATGAAATTGAAAGGAAATATTGTTTGGTTCCTTTCCTCTCACAGACTTGAGTATAGAATACAATCCCTAGCTATCAAAATAATATGCAGTTTGGTAAGAGCGCATCATATAATGTGTGGATTAGACACACATCAACCTTGCAGCAAACAAAATCTAGTATTTAAGTGGCCCATTATCGAGTTTCAAACCCATACATCGCTAGCTCTCGAGAATTTCTCAGTTACTAAAAATATGTAATAATAGCCATTTCGAAAATTTGTTCGACCACTATCCACTATATTGAAGCTCGCTCTTTCAAATCGAGATACAATCATTTTACAATAATCATCCTCATAATGCAGATACTGAACAATCATTACCCTAAATTTGTTTATACAAAAAAAGAGGCAAGTGGGGAGGCTGCAAAGAGATGTGAAAACACCCAAGAATGATATACCAAATTGATAAAGAAACATCCTATAAGAGAAAGGATTTCTTCCAAAAGTAGCAGGATGAGTTGTTGAATTTCTGGAATCTTTGTACAGCTCTCAACCTTGATGTCAGATTTGAACAATGGAACACCTTTTTTTTTAAGCCTGTTACACATTCTTGATATAAACAAATGTACAAGCTAAAATATCACTGCAGGAAGAAGNCAGTCGACTAGTGAATTCAGCAAGGTTACAGTTCTTATGTAATACCACATGTATTATGTAACAGGCTAATAGCGGACCTCTAAAAGACGATCGAGTTAATCAAAGATGATCCAGCAAATATAATTAGTAATATCCTTTTCGATTGTTTCGACTGATATGAATAACTGACATGATCTACATATAGGTCGGTATTTAAAATTCAATTTTATGAAAAATATTAGGTTGCCATCTGTGTAGAAGCATGAATGCCAAAAAGTAATAAAAAATCTCATATTCTCTCAATGATAAGTTTAAAGCCACATACTATTCTACAGCTTTAGAGGATAACATCAGAAAGATACATTATCTCTTCTTCTAGTACTCAAAACCTTCACATGCATAACATTTTTCCTGGTCTACTGAATGCCTGACTGCTAAAGATAGACAAATCAGATAATTCATTTTCCTTCTTCTTCTCCTTTGCACTTTGGACAGTTTTACTAAGCACAATTTATATGTGTATGGATAGCTTTTTTCACCTCCCTAACGATGTTGTTTTCTACGTTACCCTTGTTCTTTGGAATGTAAATGGAAATTATACAAAACCAGATCAATCAAAACTACAAGACAAAACCAAACAGGAAATGGTAAAGACATAGAGGAAACCGTCCTGTATGGTGTTCTAATTACTCTGCCTTACACTTCGGGGGGCTACAAAACTATATTGAAAATACAAATGTAGTGGGGTATAAAGGAAAATTTAATCACAAAAATAGACTACAAGAAATGCTTTACATGTTGAGTTTCAACATCAAACACAGTTATTTATTAAAATAGTCATTTATTATTGCCTCATTGAGCGTATGAATAGCAGTCATGGAAAAATAGAAATGTTGTCTCTTTGCGTATAACCATTTGGTTGATGTAGTACCCATATAAATACTTTAGATCATTCAGATGCAAACAACATCAAATCAAGAAGCAAAAACTACTTTCTGTGAGACTTATCCACAAATTCAATTTCTGACTCCCAAAGGCTATAAATGGAAGGATAAACTTACTGCATCTTCTCCCGAGATAGCACGTTCCTTCTCTGTGCCGGTGGCTATAAAACCACCTTCCTCCCCTTCTGAATTTTTGTTTCCATTGCTCCCCGTTCCATTGGTCTTGACCCTATACTTATGTGTCGGAAGAGCATTAATGGACTCTTCTGTGGCTCCTCTCACTCCATGCATATTCTCACGGACACCAAGGATTGAAATTATACAAGGCAGGCAGCAACATATCATTGCACACAAGATGAAAGGCATAGCGTATCCAATGCAACTAATGGTAAGAAAAGCTATACATAATCTGCAAAGTATGGATCTAATGTTAGTTTCGGTGATACCAGTGTGGGAAAGGAAGAACAAATAAAAAGGAAACAACTGGACCTGTACAAATTGGGAGCGTCAGAAGAAGATGAGTGCCCCCCAAAGATCCAAACGTTGCCAACAACAAACCACACTGCAAAGAAGCAATCCAAGGCCATCTTGAAATGATCTACCAGTGAACTAAGTCTGGAAAAAGAAACATCAATGCACGGTCAATAAGACTATTCATGATATAAGACAGAATCCAAGATCATAGTACTCACGATACACTGGTTCGCAAAATGTAGATATCATTTTCAAACACAGACTACATTTCTGTGAGAATCTCTATATGGCTATGCAAAGACTCGGAATACAGAAAAACTGAAGAATGCTTGGAAACACCTTTTATTATATCATATTAAAGAAATTGGAGAGAAGGTTATCAAAAAACAATAAAATTTCTAAGTTACTCTTATGAAGCATGAAGCAATTGTACCTAAAAAATCATCTAGCCGAAACTCGTACAATCTAACTAATGGCGTTTCTTAAGGCAACAACTGACTGCATCCTGAATTAGTGAACATGCTTAGTTGTGTTTAGGGTTAGTTGTACCCAACAGCAAAAATAAAGAAGAAAACACATGAAAGAGAGTAATAAGCATATAATTACCTTGCATTGCTTTGCCTGGTCAAAATTTCTGTAGATGTGTTTCTACCATCTTCCTCATCTGAGGTCCGAGTCAATGAGATAGTAATATAAGAATTTGGCTCTGCAGTGGAATTGACTTGGGGGGAACCTTGACGCAGTTGAGCTGACCTCCGATCAGTGGCTCGGTAACGGTGAAGATACCGCCAGTACAGTAAAGGGAGGCTTGCTGCACATCCAGTTGCATAACCTACAACCCAAGCAAATAATGGGGTTTCTGGGTTTTCCCCTCTTGACAAGGATAAAACAACAATCGCTGCAACAATCTGTCCTAAGGTGAATACTAGCTCAATGGAAAGCCACAACAGGGTATTAAATGGGCTCCAACGACGATCAGAACCTTCACCTCTCCTTGCGATTGAAGGGCTTTGAGAAATTGAATCATTGGATGAAGATGAAGAATGTCGACCAGGCGGTCTATCTTCATGGTTGGGCATTTCCAAGCCACGAGGAGAACCATTATCAGATGAACCTGATGATGAGGGACCACCTCCTTGTTCTACATCAATAACATGTTCATTCCTCTCATGACTTTCTGCTTGCTCCATGAGCAAAGGAAATCTGTCGGTTGGGTTCTCCTGAGTAAGTTCTTCAGAGGTAACAGCCATTCAACCATAAATCTCAAGGGCAATGTCTGTACCAGTTCAGTTACCACCCTTATGCTCCAAGCAGNACAATGTCGATACCGGTTCAGCTACCACCCTTATGCTCCAAGCAATGCTTACCTGATGATTTCATTTTAAGAAAGAAATATTATTTGCTGGGTAAGAAACAAAAAAATTTAGTCCTCTACTGAGGAAGGATCACTTCAGAAACTAGTATAATTATAATACACGATAAAAAAGTTCAACAAAACTTGTACACATGCATAAAAATACCAAGTGGGAGGAGCTTAGAGCCATACTGAAGAGCATATAGTTACCCACAAATTAGCATGTACCTTTTAATTCATAAAAGACTTTATTGGTGCGACATTGTCACACGTGTAAAATATGTATGCATTTGTGATAGTGTCCTCATCAAAATAATGTTCTATTTGGAATGTATAGAGTATCTATAATAACTGCTAAGCGTAAGACGTAACACATATGCCTTCCTACTTCCAATTACTCTTTTTCGAGAAATTCTTCTCCTACATCTCAATTCTCACGAATTACCAGAGCTACGGGGGATGAATCACTCCAATGGACTCGAAGGTCAAGCTTCTACCAGGACAACGGAGGCTTCTCCTGAGCATTATCCATGTGATGCTTATTGAAATGTAGTAGTTTGCATTCTTAGATACATAAAATCATCTAATTAGCAAAGGCCATTTTACAAGGATACCAGCATAGATTATTTGCTCTACAGATACAGGTTGGGCGAGACTTGAACCCAAATGGATCAAACAACTATTCCAAGATTTGAAACTGGAAAATTAAATCAGATTATTCTCATTTATGATAACTGAGTTGCACATTGTATTGTCAGATCCTATTTTTCATGAAAGGACCAAGAACATAGAAATCAATTCATATTTCCTCACAAAAAAGATACTTTTCAAATTCATTGTCACTAAATATGTGACATCATTATCAACTAGCATACATATTCACGACGCTTGTCAGTCCTCAAACTAGTTTCACATGTAACAAGCTCGCTATAACCATCATATATGTATCAACTTCAGGAGAGTGTTAAGTTCATTCACATGTGCGGATAGATTATATATTTGTAATGGTGTCCGACATCGTGATAAGATTGTAATATAGTATCTAATAGAGTTCCCAGATGTATGAGATAATACTTTATACATTCGCCCAATCTCCTCTCATATCTCACACTTGGAACTTTTCCAGACACATGGACTCACATATATGCGTCTCACATAAACACACGACGCTGAAATCCCGAGCAAGAATTCTTCTGAAACAACATTCACATGACTTATACAAATCTATGCTTAATGTAAATGATACTGCATCTATATGAGTACTGACCATCATAAACTTCACAGACTACAACTACCAGCAACCCATCGAGCTCCTCAATCCTAAATTCTGATCAAACCATGATCACTTCACACCCTTTAATGTAAGGACAAGAAATTGCATGAGGCGCATAGGCATTGAAACTTCAAACTTAACCTCTCCTTTTATCTAAATGACTTATTAAAGCTACAAGCTAGCCCATTGTTAAACCTTAAGTAAAGGATTTTCTCCAAGGAAAGGAGCATGAACGAGCACATAAAGCAACCCCTTGATTCAAGTTGCACGTAAAGCCTAGGATAACACCGCCACATCTTTATTTTTGTGGTGAATAACAGTAGCAGTAATGAAATTAATTCAAAATTAGCTAAGAACATAGCACAAAGAAAAAATATGACTCGCATAATGTTTATCCCAATGGGCTAATTGTGAAATTTCGAGGACTCCTAATTTGCCTTGAAAGCAGAAATTAATTCTATTGGAGTGATACGAACCTGAATAGAGCAGAATGGATATAGAGGATACATATAACCGATCGACCCCAACTGATTTGAGATCAGGATGATATCATGCTACACATATTGGCTATCATAACTAAGAATCAAACTCAGATCATTAGTGTTGTACTTAAGTTATATACAGTGACGGTATAAAGACCTTTTTACACTATCCGTGACATTTAACCTGTGATAACAAGTTAGTTACCATTTTTACTAGGTTACAAACTATTCTCTCTGCCCCATTTTGTGTGATATTATTTGACTAGCACGGAGTTTAAGAAAGAAATAAAAACTTTTGAACCTTGTGGTCTAAAACAAGTCATAGATATTTGTATCCCTATAAATCATCTCATGGAGGGTAAAATGGAAATTCAAAGTTAAATTGCTTCTAAATACAAAAGGTATCATTTTATTTATTTATTTATTTATTTTGGGGGGGGGGAGACAGACTAAAAAGAAAAATGTATGACATATACTGGGACAGAAGGAGTAATATTTATTCAAAGATTTGCTTGTAATTACCTAATAAATAACATGATTGTGTAAATTATTTTTTACTCCATCAGTGCATATAGAACATAAACTCTGATTAATTGTGACATTTATCCAACAAAATGAAATGGAAAAACAGCAGCTTCAAAACTATATATCCATTTAACTCTATTGGGGCACATTTAACAACTCTATTACGGAAATATCCTAAGCCCTAATATAACTACACGAAGCAAAATTCAGCTCAAAATTCAACGTAAAAGCACAAATTCGCCGAATTATCCTCAAATTAACCGATTAATCCATTCAAAAAAAGTAAATTAGTCTAAAAATAAACGAAAAATGAATGGAAAAATCGTAAAATTACCAGCGATTGTGATGATTGATAAGCTCCGTCACGTTGAAAAAGCCTTTGAATTGTCTTTGAAATTAGGGATTCGTTTTTTTTTCCCCGTGAAAAGGGAAATAATTGTCAGCTCTTGTGACCCATTGAACCACCGACTCCTTTATGTAAATATAATTCTTTTTATTGTATGATAATGATATGATTGTATGTATGTGCATTTTTTTTTATTCGGTTCAGTTTTTTTGTTTTTCATTTTTTATTTGCTTTTATAACACGTTATACTTGGGAAGTATTTGTGCATATGCTTAATTTGGTACTGAAACTATTGTGTACTGTTTTCTCTCGTATAGGTTTTCTTGGCACGTTGGAGTAACATATGTTTAAGTGGGAGAAAATATAATGATATGATCCGTCGTTTTGAGTTTTGGCATTTTGTTCGGTAGTTCAAGACTTTAATTAGCTGCATATAACACTTTACAACTTGTGTGTAAGATTGGTTTTGATTTTCGAGAAGTTCGGGATTGATTTGGAAGAGTGATTCTCAAGTTGGAAACTTTAAGTTGGAAGAGTTGACCAAGATTTGACTTTTGAGTAAACGACTTCTTAATTAAGATTTGATGTTTTTAATAGATTCGTATTGTGATTTTGGACTTCAAAAATATTCTACAACATCAACAAGTACTAATACACACGAAAAAGTGGATATAATCATTGATTCGTATTGCAAGACCTCGAAACGCCATAAAATAAACTCGAAAGTCATGGCGAATTAATGAATATTAGTCACTAGGCCGTTTCCAATGGACCTGCAAAATTTCAGGCAAATCAGAGTCCGTTAAATTTTTTTTTACAAAACCAACACGTACTAATACACACAAAAAAGTGGATATAGTCATAAATTCGTGTTGCATGACCTCGGAACGCGAGAAAATAAACTCGAAAGTCATGACAAAGCAATGGATATTGGTCACAAGGCCGTTTCCCATGGACCTACAATTTCAAACCAATCAGAGTCCGTCAATTTTTATTTTTTTTACAAAATCAACATGTACTAATACGCACGAAAAAGTGAATATAGTCATAAATTCGTGTTGCATGACCCCGAAACGCCCAAATATGAACCCAAAAGTCATAGTGAGGCTATGAGTATTGGTCACTAGGCAGTTTTCTACGGACCTATGAAATTTCAGGCCAATCAGAATCAGTCAAGAAAAAAAAATCAAAATCAACATATACTAGTATACACGAAAAAGTGGATATAGTCATAAATTCATATTGCATGACCCCGAAATACCAAAACGATCCGCCAAAGAAAAATATTAGTCATGACGAAGCAATGAGTATAGGTCACTAGACTATTTCTTATGGACCTACAAAATTTAAGCCAATGAGAGTGTGTCAAAAAAAAAATCTACAAAGTGTATATAAGTGGATATAAACAATTCAGAAAAATTTCACACGAAAAAATGGATATAATCATAAATTCGTGTTGCATGACCTCAAAATAGCATAAAATGAACTAGAAAGACATCGCGACGTAATGAGTATTGGTCACTAGACCGTTTCCAATAGACCTACAAAATTCCATCTCAATCAGAGTCCGTCAAAAAGATTCTACAAAATCAACATGTACTAAGGGTGTGTTTGGTATAACGGAAAATATTTTCCGTGGAAAATAATTTCTTGGAAAATAAGTAGTAATCTTATTTATTTTCCGGTGTTTGGTACGCAAATTAAGAAAAATAACTTCTCAAGAGTATTCATAAATAATTTAGATACAATAAATATGAAGTCATAAACTTTCGCGAACCCACAAATTTCATAAACTTCCGAACCGCTAAACTTTCGAAACTGCGAAATTTCGAACCCGTAAACTTTATAATTTCTAAACTCGTAAACTTCCAAATACATAAATCTCCAAACTCATAACTTTGGAACTTGTAAAATTTCGAACCTGTAAATCGAAAGATGAAAAAACTAAAACNAAAAATATTTTTCGAAAAATATTTTCCTTCATACCAAACACACACGAAAAAGTAGATATAGTTATAAATTCGTATTGCATGACCACGAAATACGAAAAAATAAATCCGAAAGTCATGGCGAAATAATGAGTATTGGTCGATAGACCGTTTTCTATGGTTACGGAAGGCTAAAAATACGAAATTTTGGATACTTTACACCTATTATTTGTTACACTTTAATTTTATTTAAGCTAAAATATGAACAATTTATACTCACTACGTATTTTCTATTGTGTAGGCTGCGATTCCAAGTTAAGGCGTATTTTTGGAGTTAAAATAATTATAATAGGACTTTGAAGTTTGAATAGAAGTTCAAGGGTTAAGCTAGATCGAATTCGGAGGTCGAGGACCAAATATACATTAAAAAAAGAGTTGAAAAAAATGCAAAATAAATGCAAAGGGGGCTGCCACGTTGTCGCTTTGCAATTGGGAATAGAGGCAACATTATGATGTTTTCCATTGTCACGTAACAAAGGGTTGAACCAATTCTGCACTAGGCAGCCAAAAGTCGAAGGCTACAGGGAAATTTCAAAGGCACGCCGTGCGTTGCGGCTTGCTATACGGCGTGGCAATGTGATTTTGGCTCACTTTAATCCTATTTCTAGGTTATTTCGGTCCTAAGACTATTCCTACACAGTATAAATATATGGTCTAACATAATTTTTGAGAGGATTCAACCTAGGAGAGTCTAAGGTTTTTTTTTTTTTTTTTTTTT